ACTGAGAATCCAACCATTACTTTCAACGGGAAACATTAAAATCATGATCAAACACCCTTGTTATGTTCTCTGTATTTTCAAAGATATTTTAAATGCATATGCAAGTGATTGATTCCTGTCTGTATCAACCATAGTTAATTTATTCCGACAAAACTTTAAAGTTGTGCTGCTTCGTTTACTTGGAGGAATGTAGTAGTTTCTCATTGGATAGACGAAAAGGGATCATAGCCAACAGAATAAAAGAGTAGAACGAGAATAGAATCTACAGATAGGCTTAGAGCGAAGGTTGAAGGACCTTGAAGATGTTTACTAACAAGGATTGAAAATTTGTGTAGAACTAGGATTTAGATTCAAAGTTGTACGTTCGAGTTAGCAATAAAGTTTTCATCACGAACTGATGCCAAAATGCTACTTGGCCATATGGATAAATGGATTTCGAGCCAAAACGCAATATCTATTACCTGAGATCTGATTAGCTCGTCCATAAATTAGTCTCGACAAAGAACACTCTGTAAACCAGTTGTATTCAGCAAATCCCGATTTTGCATAACGACTTAAGGCGATTATTATTCAGATTTTAACGGACCTTTGTAATTTCTTATTAACTACCAGTGTATGTCAGTTGTACTTAGTCATTTTAATAACTATGAATTTCTGTTGTACTGATTATTTCACCATAATTTTGTATTTAGTGAAAATTACTTAACCACAGAACTCTGTAATTAACAATAACCGAGTAAACTTATATGTAAACTCGATCTCTGTTGAACTCGTCCAATAAATCTTAACAAGAAAGGTCTTCTGAAGTTGCTGAAGCGATGAGAATCGTTGTGGAAGTTATCGATGGAATTCACATATTTGTAGCAATAGACCAACATGAAGATAGATTCAATTACATTTTTATCGACTAGAGAGCAGTTTTAAAAACATAAAACAAACTCATGTTTGATACTATTTTATATGACATGGAAGATAAGAAATCCAGATCTCCATTAATCAAATCATAATATAACTAATTTCGTAACCATTTGTTACTGAAGGATACACGTGTCTGTAAGGCAATAATTTTTCATCAAAAATTTATGGTTGCTAATTCAAAGATATTTACAAAACATCTTAAACTCAGAGGTTTTTGCTCACTTCGATATGAAACGGAAAATACTTTCGAGAAAAACCCAAGAGTAGAAATTATCATCATGAATAAACAATAATGCATATGTTATCGTAAAGAATGGTGAGCCAACTAGTCTTACTGAAAAGTTGTTAACTGATAACATACATATCACCAAGAAGACAATATAGATAACCACCCAATATCATTCAGGGATAAATAAATAAATGGAACTGAAGAACACTTGAACAGGAAATGACTACACACCTTCAAGTTGAATGTAACTACTAATATAGCTGAATTCTGTTGTAATCATATGTCATATTTATAAGCTCGCATAGGAACATCAACTAAATAAAATAAGAATTAAGTGGCCACACTAAAATTTACCCTTAAAAAACTAAATTATGAATTCGTTCAACAACACGATGACTCGCCACCGTTCATAATTCATTGCGAAAGCAAATTATATACATATTAGAGATCTGACCATTCTAATGGGAGAACTAAATGCCAAGGATGGAATGGACAACACTGGATATGAAAACATCATGAGACGACATGGATTGAGAGAAAGGAACGCAAATGGTGAGAGATTTGCAAATCTATGTGCCTTCAACAAACTTATCATAGGCGGCACTATATTCCCGCACAAACGCATACACAAAACCACATGGAGTTCACCGTGTCACACCACGCAGAACCAAATCGACCATATCTGCATCAATAAAATGTTCAGAAGGACAATAGAGGAGGTGAGAACCAAGAGAGGAGCAGACATAGCATCAGGTCATCACTTGCAGGTCGCCAAAATGAAATTGAAACTCAAGAAGCACTGGACAACGGGGCAAACAACATCACAAAAGTTTAATACGGCTTTTCTTCGGGATACTAACAAACTCAACGAATTCAAGATAGTCCTCAGCAATGGATTCCAGGCCTTTCGTGATTCACTCAATCGAGAAGGAATTACTATGGAGAGCAACTGGAAAGGGATAAAAGAACCAATAACTTCAACATGTCATGAGGTTCTGGGTCACAAGAAATGGATCACTGTTGATACACTGTAAAACATTCAAGAACAGAGAAATAAGAAAGCAGCAATCAATACCAGACGAACAAGAGCAGAAAAAGCTAAGGCACAAGCTGAATACACAAAAGTAAACAAACGAGTGAAGAGGAGCATCAGAACTGACAAACGTAAATATGTGGAGGATTTAGCAATGACGGTGGAAAAGGCTGCAAGAGAAGGACACATGAGACGATTGTATGACACAACAGAGACTCGCTGGAAATTATCGTAAATCAATGAAAAGTAAGGAAGGCAAAGTAATCACCAACATCGAAGAAGCACACACAAACCTCCCAATCTATGTTGGACCACCAACAATTGAAGAGATCAGCATGACCATCAGACAAATCAAGAGCGGCAAAGTAGCAGGACCATACAACATTCCAGCAGAGCCACTGAATGCAAATGTAACAGTAAATGCAAGGATACTTCACATTCTCTTCAGCAAGACTTGGGATGAAGAACAGGTACCAACAAACCGGAAAAAAGGACCCCTGATCAAAATGCCAATGAAAGGCGATCTCAGCAACTGTGATAACTACAGGGACACCACTCCTCTCAATACCAGGAAAAGTCTTCAACAGGGTATTGTTAAGCAGAATGAAGGACTCTGTAGACGCCCGACTTCGAGACCAACAGGCCGCATTCCGTAAGGATCGGTCGTGTAAAGACCAACTCGCAACTCTATGGATCATTGTGGAACAATCAATTGAGTGGAATTCATCACTCTACATAAACTTCATTGACTACGGGAAAGCATTTCATAGCATGGACAGGACAACACTATGGAAGCTTCTTCGATAATACGGCGTGCCTGAGAAGATAGTCAATATCATACGGAATTCCTATGATGGATTAAACTGTAAAATCGTGCATGGAGGACAACTGACAGACTCGTTCGAGGTAAAGGCCGGTGTTAAGCAAGGTTGCTTACTCTCACCCTTTTTCTTTCTCCTGGTGACCAACTGGATCATGAAGATGTCAACATCTGAGGGGAAGCATGGGATATAGTAGACAGCTTGGATGCAGCTGGACGATCTAGACTTCGCAGATGATCTGGTTCTTCTATCGCACATGCAACAACAAATGCAGGAAAAGACGACCAGTGTAGCAGCAGCCTCAGCAGGTCGCAACATACACAAAGGAAAAAAGCAAGATTCTCCGACAACACAGCATGCAACAATCGAATCACACTTGACGAAGAAGCTTTGGAAGATGTAAAAGCCTTTACATTGACGGTGGATCTGATGCAGATGTGAAGGCGCGAATCGGCAAAGCAAGAGAAGAACATCTGGAACTCAAAACAATTGTCAACCAACACCAAGGTCAGAATTTTGAAAACAAATGTCAAGATAGTCCTACTGTATGAGGCGGAGACCTGTAGAACATCAGCGCTTACATCATGCATTAGACATCAAAATATTGTCTGTGCTAACAGTAAGATACATTAAAAAATTATTCAGCCAATGAAAAACACAATTACGACAAGAAACTTAGGATGAAGTGATGCGGAATAAGACAAATTTATGTTTTTTAGTCGAATATACTTATGGACCTATTAATTCGACATACTATTCATCACTTATTAACTGAAATTTTTAGTTATCTAAAGGAAAATCTGAAATTTCTGTTGAAAAATAAGTTACGGGCCCGCACACTGGACTTTAAGCTATGATATACCTTGTCTTGACTAACAATCCCTGTTGGCTAGCTGAATTAAATTAGGCGGGATCGGACCCTGTAATCCGATAATTGCAAGTGTACTACCGAGCAACTTATAATTCCACCACAAAAGTAGTTGCCAGAGGAAATCTTTCATTATACAAAAAACACCCGCAAAACAATGGTTATCTAAGACATTTATCAACATGAGACTAGCGACTAAGGTACATTACTCGCTCAGATCAAGTCTTAGCATGATCGAATATGTAAATATGTAGTGTCAGTTATTATTTTAAGCCCATTCACCTTATTCTAGTTTTCGGACAGACCAATCTATTCATTCTACTTGAGTTATATGTTTACCATGTTAGTTATTCGCTTACCAGTCTTCATTGTTTTTATGTGAGCGTATATGTGTGTACACTTCTTATCCCATGTCTCATCACATGTCTGTAGCTTATTTTTGTCTGCCTATAAATATTGGCTGACGCCTGACTAAAAATGAGTTGGCTCACCAGCGATTTCCACCCCGCATCGCTTCTCTTCCTGCTATTCCATTCACCTTATATACAAAGTATATGTATTCAAAATCCCATCCTCGTTATTTGACTTATTTGATTCCGTTATTGACTACCGTGATTAAAGTCGATGATAAACGAGAATCGGCGATAACAAACATCCATACGATAGGAGTCAGATCCACGGGCCACTAAAAATGCCACTGTTAGTAGGACTTAAGTGGCTGTTTATTGAAACGAATCCAACTTGACAGTTTACACCAGTTATCTTAATTTCAACCGCAAGTGTACACTATTACACATGTACATTTTTGAAGCCAACAGTTAGACTAGTAAAAATAAAACTGACGTTGAATCACGAAGCTAATAAAAATAATCGTTTAAAGATCCCCATCATCAAATTTTAGTCTTTTGACAAAAATAATCATCTCATTTTGAACATACGATTAATTCAATTTTGCGACTACTGATTGACAGTAATTATCTCACTATTATTTTATTCCAATTATTGTTTCCATTAATTAGTTCTTAGTCTCTAAAGGCTATTTTCAATGTGTATGAAATTGAATCGATGCACATTGTACCACATCTCTTACATAGTTTACCGTAGTATTAATAAAATAGTAAATAAATATGTAGAAATTCGACAAATCATCATACACCTATTCTCTAGTAGCGACATGACGCACGACAGAAAAGATAAGACAAATATACGTACAACAACAGCAGTGTCAACCATCATAATTCAACGTGTAAACCGCGGAAATTATTTGAGATTAGACAAAGTTAAAAACAGAAAAACAAAAAGGAAGACAGTATTTTAAGTAAACTCACGAATCCTAAGGGGTTATGCACACCCACCCAGAACCTTAAGCAAGGAAGTTAATAATTTACAATGATTTTAGAAAATAACGGTAACAGGAGATAATTTAAAGCAATGTTAACTATTGAATAAATATGTATATATGTACACATGGTGTTCAGAAACATCACAAATCACAAGCAAGGAAGAAAGAGCGGAGGAGAGGAGTTGAGATAAATATATATATAAAATATACAAAAGAATAAACAAGAGGTATTATATCATCATTTCACAGATGCTTTTGTTAAATGTTGTCTGGACGAAAGTCTAATAATGGTTTTTATTTATTGTCCCAAAGAAATAATAGTAAGAGAAAAAAATCGGTGCTGATTAATTTTAAACGCCAAGATCATCATCACAGGGAGGGATTAATTAAATCCAAATGTTAAAAGAAAAAATAATTAACTCATACTGAAGAGATTTTGGAAGGGAGATATACAGTAGAAATGAAATAATATTTGGAAATACTAGTTAAGCACATAAATCTATGATGAAAATTACAACCATATTTTACAATGATTTGTACTGAATCATTTCAAGTAACAGCTAGAAGTGAATCGTAGATTCCATTTTAATTATTGGGTGATGTCAGTTGATGAGATGTATCTAAAATGGTGAAAAAATCATAAAGCTTGTTAAGTAGTTCCAGGTACTAATTAGAGATTTTATCGTTGAATAATAGGGGATTTGTGACTTATTTGGAAATAGGAATAAATTCTATACATGAAATTGTTTTCAAATAACAGCTCGTGTTATATATTTCCAATCTTAATGTATTCGGAATTCCAGCAAACACATAGTATCGGGTAAAGAGAGGAACACCGTAATTGGATAGACTGACAGTGTGATCACTTCACATTTCGTGATTAACTTGAGAGTTGACAGTATAAAATTACTGACAGATTTCAGAAAAAGATTACAAACATACCCAATTGGAAAGGTAGCTCATGAGACAAGAGTATAAGATTGGATACACACATGAATAATTTCAATCATACCAATTTTAATACATGGTACTTTAAATGCACGACAACAATTTGATAAAATATAAACACGGATCATACCGAACAAAAGAGATTCTACAATTTAGAGCTCTTTTTGAGTATCACACATAGAATATTGAAATAACAGCATCTGACTTTTATCTACAAATAACATTCCCTTATCAAAACATTACAAAACGAAGAAAATTTTCTTTTCGACGAAATCATTTATTTAAACTGTACAACGTTTGCTAATATATATGGTTGGTTAATCAAAATCGACTCAACTGGTACAAATTTGTATTGACCAATGCTTTAATAAAATACCAGCACAGATATTAGAATTTGGACAGAGTTGATTTATAGTGATGATCTACAAATATTCTCTACTTCCGATAACTGCGTTTTACGGTCATAAAGTATAATAGAGAGAACTGTTATACAGCATAATTGTCCTTTAATAGGCGTACAGACATCTCGAGTACGACATGATGGGTGAAAGTTTACAAGGTCAAAGTCAGCTATCTGAGTTCACGCGAAGATATTATCAAACACCAATTCACAAGGGCTGACAAGACTTTCAAGATAAGTGAAGAGGTCAACAAACTCAGCTACATGAATTTTACCATCGATTCAGATGTTACCACAGATAGTCATGAAGGTATGTTTTGCCTTTTAAGAGGAAGAAACACGTCATAAAATACACGGTGATCAGAAAACCCTGCAATTCGACCATCTCCATAAAATCACCTGACAGGAGGTCAGTTCCTGAAAAGTAAGACGAGTGTTATCTCTGAAAGAATGACTAGAACAAGGTAAAGTGGAAATGGGTAAAGTTGGCAGCCCTAACGAAAAACAGTTGATGTTTCAAAATCTGGTAACAATCTTCACAAGCTTTGACTCAAGTAGCAGTATTTGAGCAAACAACATTTACAATGCTTGTGTACTTCTTTGGTACAGACTGTGAAAACAAAAACTTTCGCAAAGCCTATCAGTCAATCGAATTTCGCCTTAAAGTCAATAATAACCTTAAAAGTTTCAAGCTGTTTAGGAATACAAAGTAAGTGTAGTGATGTTGACAAGCACAGAAATACGAAAATAAGGAGTCAATGGAATAGTGCCAAGCAAGTAAGCAAATAGTTAACTTACAGTTATAATGTTGAGTACTCAGTAGTAACATAGGACACGTTATGCGTTGTAGTTGATGGAACATTAAGATGGTTAGATTGAAAATAAGCACTTCTACTGGGTACTGATAGGTTCGATACAGTAGATGACGCCAAAATAGGTGGAGTTGTTAATCTTGGCACAACAGTTTGGATCAATGACTGATTATGTGTTGGATAAACTGAAACTGGTTGAGATATTAGACATTCCATTGAATATGTTGAGGAATTGAAAGAATGAGTAAATGAATCGGATGATGAGTAAACTGGATTACCAAAATTCGACATCGATGGTTGTGTAAGAGTAGTTGAAGACGTTCGAGAGTATGGATGAATACTATCAAATGCTTGAGATGATAGTTCATGGTTATAGGACATATTATCGGAGGAAAGACTGTATAAATCTTCTCGAAGAACATCCGGATCCTGTTTTAAAGTCTCGGTGATGTAATGATGATTACCAGTTGATAAGGGAACGTTGACTGAAGCCATTACATCAGGATCAATAATCAAACGACCAGCATCTTCTTCTTCAGATTCATCCTCAGAAAATGTAGGTATATCGACTGTGTCGGATAGAATACCTGAAACTTTGAGATCCGGAAATACATGTGGGAATTGAGTTAGGAGTTCTGAATGTGTGGCACTAAATGTTTTATCAAAGTCTTGTGAATCGGTAGTTGATATATTTGATTCAGGAATAATCCCTGAAGTAAATGGACTTTCTGTGTCTTCTTTTGATGAATTTTCAACAATTTGATGTATTTTGTTATTAGTAATTGGGACATCTAGATTCGGTAATGAAGAATTGTTAACTTCATTTTCAAAAGAATTTTGTGGATTATTGCTCAAAACTTCAGCACACTTGAGCTTACTTCTCAATTTCGGTTTCGAAAGAATGATTTTTAAACGAACATTAGATTTATTATTTGTTAAAGAAGAATTGTACTCTTCTACCAACAACTTTTTATCTTCAGAAGTATTAGCATAAACCTTGTTTTTAGTCTGCTGCTTTGATTTACGTTTAGATATCACATGTAATTTTGATTCTATAGACGCAGTGACTTCCCCGCTTATGTTATTATAGGTACTTTGACCTAAGGATACATTCGAAGAATCAACAACTGATGGACATAACATTGAAGGTTCTTGTTTCTCACAAGAGACTTTGGTTTTGTTTTTTCTTACTTTGTTATTTAGATGTTTACTTCGCTTTGTGGTCGCGTTCACTTCTACACCAAGGTTTATGTCGGGAATGGATAGTGATGATGCAGTTTGTGAAACCTCCAACTGTTTGGCATCATCGAGAACAGATATTTCAGATGGCTGAGATGAAGATTGTTGATGTATTGTGCTGCTAAAAACTTCGTGATCCCATTCACTTTCACTATCAGTAGAGTGAGTTTCTTGCCTTTTTTCTGCCGCTTGTTTTGCTTCATTAACTGCCTGGCGAAAAACTCCACGTTTCTTTTTGTTATCAAATCGTTTACAATGTTCTAGAAAATGAAATAATTTATCACATGGCATGTATGACACCTGATTCCAAGCAAACCAATGAAGACAGGCAGTATAACAAACCTGCTCTGATGTTAAAAGTGGAGATGACTGTTCTTGGAAATCCACGACGGGGCGTACTTGTTCAGAATTCGGTAAATCAACTTCATTGGCAACTACACGTTGTATGCTAGTAATCTGTGCAGGCCAGTAAGGCCATCCTGAAAGTTTGCTCCAAACTAGGTCACCGACACGAAAAACAATGCCGTCATGTAACTTACAGCGTTTTACTAAAGGACCTGATATTATTAAACTCTCGCATGTAGATCCCTTCTTTGAAGAACTGGCGGATGGTGACGGTGACGGTGAACGTAAACCATTGCAAAGAATGTCTAACTTCAAAGTAGATGGATTCGCATTCGCTATTGAACTATTTTCTTCACTCACAACTTTAGAAGCCGAAGTAGCTAATTCTAGATGTGAACCAGTCTGTAACTTGACAACTTCATATTGTGTCGGTACAGTTTTCGAACACCCAGAAGGTTGTCTATTCCGATTAATTTTAATCTTTATTACAGGAAGGGCGAGACCAGAACTATCACTTGTCGGGGTCAAACATGGAGACACATGAGATGTAGACTTTTGGTCAGTTATGTCCAAATATTTCTCGGACTGTGAAGCGTCCCCTGATTCAATGTTACGATTGCTTAACGACCCATTATGCAACTTAACCTTAGAAGATACATTGCTATTACTTTTTAAAGTACTTTCGCTGGGACTAACACTAGATCCATCACCTGACCGAATTCGCAGTCGGTTTAAACTAGGAGATTGTGCATTACATGATGCAGAGTTTTCCGTATCTGTATTATTGGATGAAGTTGAAATATGACTTGCTGCAGTGGAACTAGGATTATTGTTTCGTTCATCTTGACACCTTCTAACTCGTGCTTCACGCATCCATCTGTTTTTTGGTTTTTCGTAATCAAAAGCTTTACGTCGACTTTGTGGAGAGAAATTACTCTCACTCATAGAAATCCCAAAATTGTTTGAGGCAGAATTGTGTCCATACGTAGACGTTTTACAAGTTAACTGTACGGAAGCAGAATGCTTCTCCTTAGATGGGCTTGACAGGTGTGGGCTTATACTATTTGGGATATTTTCTTTTTGTGGAAAATCACCATCAAGAGAATCACTAGGTAGAATTTCATCCACTTCTGAACGACTTTCTAAATCTTTCACAGAACAAGAAGGACCCAGTGAATCCAAAGTGACAGAAAGTGGGTTCAGCTGAGTACGAGTACGGTATCGAGAGTTTTTTCGTACGCCAAGATTCGTTTTTGAAGATGTTAATGAAATTATTTCTGATTTTTCAGAACCTTTGCGAGTAGCGTTTGATTCAACTTTTATTCTGCTATCACTAATCGAGTTGATATTTCCAATTTCTTGTTTGGAAGAGATTCTAGTTTTTTTTCCAAACGGATAACGAAATGGAGAGGTGACAGATACGTATTGAGCTTTGATTCGATTCTTACGAGTTTGTTCCTGAGACGAAAGAGAATCAACAGAATCTGTCTTACCGACTAGGATTGGAGAAGTAGGAAAATCTTTGGTTTCCTCCGATGAAGGTACTGCAGGGTCAGATGAATCCGGATCAACGACAGGTGGTGTTGCGACCAGGACTGTATTACTAACATTAATCGGTTCAGTGAGTTTCTGAGAACTTAGTCTAATCTTCTTCAGCTTTTGCTTATCGGGAATAACATCGACTTTCCGTTTCTTCGACATGACTAATTTTGGTTCTAACGATTCTGGAGTCTTAGTCGACTGTTCAGAAATAAAATGCTTTTTAGATTTTGAGCGTATATCAGAACTAGAATCAATTTCTGATTTTGACGAATCATCCACATTTATCTTCATTTCTTCATTTAGTTTGGGGATGATTGGTGGAGTGACGTGGCGAATAGACTGAGAATTTCCATTGAGTGTCGCTAGTGTAATTTGTTCAGAAAAGTTGCTTTTAGAAAGATAATGATTTATTTCGTTGTCTGAATTTAGGGCAGATGAATCCGAAGTGCGACGATCTATCTGATCAGTGAGGAAGGAAGAGGAAAGTTCCGTACCATGTTCTTCTAAATGGAATGCTTTTTTACATTTTCGACAAACAAATCGCCGAGGTCGTAATATTCGTGACAATTGTGGAGCTGGTTGGTTTCGATGACTTCGTTTTGTTGGATCAGGCTGGAAGACATTTAAATTTGAGGGTTGGCCTTCCAATTTGTAGGAATAACGTTCAGTTGAACAAGGAATAGTTTTGAGGTTTATCCCTGATGCTGTTCCACTTAAAGGAGGCCAAAATGGTGCACTAGTTATTCTTTCTAAATTTGTCCCATATTCATTGAATTTCCTACAAAAAAACACCGAATGTTAGCTTAAGTCAATTTATTTAAATTTTGAGAATTTCATTGTGTAAACAATAATGTGTACGATAACAAGAATATTGTACATTTTGAAGCTTCACTGAATAAAATATGGTTAGTCACTAGTATCCATCACAAGTTTCAGTATGGTGTAATTAAAACCAAACAACACATTAAGCACTTAGTCGTCACATTGATTCGTGTTTACAGTGTGCAATAATTTCTCGACCTTTTCTACCAGTAAGAGCAATACGATTATTGGCATTAGATTACTGTCGTGATTTCTAACATCTACAAGACCTTACATATTCGTGTGTATTTCTTTAACCTTACTTCTATTACTTAAGGAGCTTTTTCATTTGAAACATCGTTTGTCTCATGGGCTAGGAGTGTGAATAATCAATCCCAGTGACAACTGATTCTAATCTTATCTATTGAGCTCATTTTGCATTTCTAACGAGAAACTCATTTTACTATTCATCTAAAAATACTGGTGAAAGATTCTATGAATTTGATTTTCTTTAAAGTGAAATCTTATGTGCAGAATTCTTATTTACACACACACAATTCATCGCCAACATCACCTTATGTCCCAATCAAAACACCTACAGAACACAAGTGGAATGTTTATTTTATCAACTACTTTACTTTGTAAAAAAAATCCATTTCTTCGAATACAGACTAAATATCAAGAAAACACTCAAATTTATATGAAATATTGAGCTATAACTAGAAGTGGAAGCATGAGATAACATACACATGGTCGAACGACAAAGGTTAACTGAGTCAAAACTATTAATCAAGAAACTATTGTTTTACATAAGACTAAAATAGAGTCCAATTAAAAACTTTAGATGCAAAAAGGAACTAATGATGACGAAGATGAATTTACGGTGTAAAATCTTCTTGGTCGATGGTAGACTGTCCTATTCTTAAATGATATACTTTTAACAAATTCCCATTTTGAGTGATGTAATATATTACATGGGCTCGCTTATATACAAATAATCATGACGTTGAATCTAGGGACCCACGAAGAGAAGTAGTAGTATTATTTACCAAGCAAAATCTATAAGTTGAATGTTAATTTGTTTTAATGATAAAAACGTGAAACAAAAAAGGTAGGTAGTACATTTTACTGACAGCTAGCTGCATATAAGCGAGGACAATGTGATAGATGCAAAAGAGGAAACGAAACGTAATGTTACTTAGTTTACTTATTATCAATTACAGTGTAGGTGACACGTTTAACTGCATATCAAAGTTTGAATGTAGTGCTGCTCAGTAGTAATAATTCATGGGTATATAATGTTACCAGAATTGTATTTATGTGGATGACGCATGTTTTAAGAGTGAAGTATTACAGATGTATGATGGGACAACCGGGTAGAAGTTAATGAGGAATGCCAAGGAAGGTGGCAAGTCCCACTGTAAACGTTCACCGACTAAAGTGGTTGGAACTTCTTATGAATGGTTAGCCTTTATCAATCACACTATGTAAACTAGTGTTGGAGAAAAACTAATAACCCACCATGGTATTAAATTGGTTCGTGAAGAAGTCACTGATCTTATTATTACCGTTTACTCAGCAGCTGAGGCAAGATTACTGACCAGAAGTGAAACTATAAGGTAGAAAAAACAGAAACCAACACGAGCTGTAATTCATTAAGATCATCCTGATATCCAGCGAAAGTCACGCAGAATTGTTAGTGAGTGATTCCCAATGGTGTATCTTAATCTCTTGCCACAGGATCCAAATAAGCTAGCAGAATAATTAGCGACCTAAACATTCCAGATCCACCTTTAATCAGATAGCGTGAAAATAACAATCCAAGTCAAATATGCATATGGGAAAACAGTAGTAAAAACAAGTAGTTCGAAGGCAGGATACCAGATATTCAATTGCAAAACAGGTAAACAATAGACATTTCTACGACTAATGTTAAACATCCAAACGTGCAAAAATTAAGACATTTTTTATCGATGGTTCTGTTGTTTGATGCTTTGGACAGTTTATAACTTAGTTGTATGTATTAAAATGTACTTCAAATAAATCCATTTGAGTAAGTTCGAAGTATTTTACGCATTTTTTAGAACACAAACTCACCATTGGGTACTATGAAAAATGCTCTCTTCTCAAATGTTCGATGGACTAACATGATACATAAACACAGCCTTATGCACCAACGCCACCATAGACATAGATAGATGGGACATGATCATTAGCTTCAGGTTACAGTCCTTAACACAACTAATTTATCTCTGGATAAGTAAAAGAGTCAATATTTAGCTACATTACTATTAATAGTCAGAACGATAATAGGCAAGAAAATATTGAAAGACCTGCAAATCATTATCATACCCAACGTAGAACCTGATGCATGTTTTTTTATTTAAGTTGCAATGCTACATTAGCGCAGAAAGAAACTTAAAGACATAGTAAAGGTAGTAGCAACACCAGTAGTAAAAAAAGAAAGGTACATGGAGATTTCAGGACTCAGGTCCTAGAAAAAAACGAGAAGTGGATGCAACTCTACTATTGCGAGCGACTTCGAACCATGACACCCAAAATATCTAATCGATCGTTACGACAATGGCCTAGACCCCAACCAGGCACTCTACACCCACTGATATGGCTCAAACCTACAAAAAGTAGTCGCCACGGCTCTGTTCATGCATTTTAAACTGTAAGCCACATCCATTTAAAGCTGGATCTCCATAATACTAAGGGAACAATAAATTTAACCAATTTCGTCATTTCCAGAAACAAAACAAATCAGTACATTCATATTATCATAAAGATTTAACAGATTATTGAGGTACATGGCTTATCTAATACAGATTGGTGAATAAACTGGTCATGATAAGCACTAGTTTTTAGCAAAAATAACGTATGAAGATTCAGGAAGTCAACATCTTTTTAAATCATTGTATATGGAATACTTACAAAAACTGTGTCAAGACTAGAAGATACATCAAGAGTAAACTGGAGTGACAATTTCCTCCAATCTAATAGCAGGATTAAATGGAATTTATCTTAACGGAAATAAATTCGACCTTCAAGAAAATATACACGGTCAATACAATGAAATGAGAAGTTTATTGAATATGAATCATATTTGCTCAAGTTGGATTTGAAATCGACCAATGTTTTGAAATGAATGATAGAAATAAGATTAGATCATAATTGTAATCGATTTTTTATTTAACACAATTGTCAGTTATGAATTGAATTGAATAGTCGGGGATGGAATGTAGAGTCAACGCCTAGCAAAAGGTTCTTTGGAAAAAAAGTGGGACATTAAATTCAGGATTATTCTCGCTGACCAATGCAAGGCAACAGACTGAATTTGTAGTAATACTTTCAGTCGCAGAGACAATATATACTATACTGTAAACTTCTGTATATAGAATCTCATATTTATTAGTGGTAGCAGAAAAACAATCAAACCAATTTATAAACCTTTTGATCACATCACTAAATACATATACTAATTACCAGGTCCACGAAATAGTTATTGATCAGATACAAGACGAAACAACTTAAAATCAAAATTGGTGAGCAAATAAGTGTGACTATCACTTTCTTGCAAATTTCGGAAACCTTATTGTGCTATACTCTTTGATTCTCAAGTCTTACTTTACTTTCTTTGTTAGTAACTATTAAGTGCTTGTCCTTTATTTTCCTCGTTGATTTCATCCAGCAGAATTGAAATTTTGCAGCTACTCTAGAAAGGTACATGTTTAGACTAAATAAACGCTATTACAAGAAGTGGTGAATTAAAAAGACCTACACAAATTGAGAATAAGGTGATGTAAAAGAATCAGGTAATTAGTTGTAAGTCATTGGTAAGAAGCACAAACACCCACTTAATATCAAAGCATAGTGCATATGACATCGAATTACTAAGAATAGTGACCACATTGTAACTTGGTCGATAAACACTAAAGAGTAAACAAACATGGCATCGGGTATCACTTAATAATTAATCACCAATGTTAGTTTTATTCACCATTCGTTTGACTACGATGTCGTAGAATGATTGTGAACTGGTTATTTTCGTATTTCTACGCTAAAACTTCTATATTCTTACCAATTATACTCATTGGTGTCTTCGAATAACATAGGGCTTTTGAAATTATCTTGGAGAGATGGATTAATCACGAAAATGAACTGACTTTCAACCAACTACTCCTACGTACAAATCCTGCTCTATTTAGTTCGGTTTAGTCAGTCGAGTAGCATCCTTAACTCTCAAGATAAATTGGGATTCAAAACTACGTACACAAACCTATCCTTGATACGAAAAAGTTATATAGTGAGAATAAATATTACCAAAGTAGATTAACTCATCGTACCATCATTTCTAAGATATGGATAATGGTAGTGATTAGATTAAAATTTTACATACCTAAGATGTCTTACGACTTTCATAGGACATTTCTATGCTATTATGATACCTACAACATGATAACTAAAAGGTAAATAAGGCAAAATGATATTAACCCGAGTTAAATAGATATTTATTCTCAAAATCCAACAGTGAAAGAAAGAAGCGTTAATATACCCAATATTACTTGAATAAAAGCGACGGTAAAGTGTTCAAGAAATCAGAACTATTTTTTCTCAGATAACAAAAGACCAATATTTATTTAGCAGCGTTCGGAATATACGTGGTGGATGAAATGGCTGGTAATTAGCACAGACACACTCAGTCTTTCTACCTTAAAATACCCACACTTTTAGTCCACAAATTTTTTTCTTTATCATGCCGTTTTTCTTACTACTACTGACATTGCTACAGTTTATACTACAGCAGCATTCGTCTTGATAATATCACCTTGCTGTGATAATATAGTGTGGCAACTTGAGCTGATACACGCACCATGGTCTATATTGCTCATTATATATATATATATATATATATATAGGATGGCTGAAGGCTCGTTACAATAACAATATTTCTCGAATTACAATCAATTATATTCAAGCTACTACATACTTGAAATATGCGGTAATAAGAGTCTTTTTATTGATACGTTGATGGTAAGAAGGCGTACTAGGTGCTTCAACCACTCGACAACTGTGATGTGTACGACAAAATGTCCTTCGATAACTTGAGCTACGTTATTTAACAATTGATTTAGAGAAAACACATAAGATATGGAAATTACCATAAAGGCAATGTCAGTACTTTTTAGAAAGTTTTTTGCCGCACAGTTGTTTCTTTAATGGAATCGTCATTTTTCTTCGACTTTTTATAATGCTAACATGCGTGGTAAACTACAGGACAGAATGACCGGCTGAGAAAATTAAGGCAACTCGATGTCATGGTACAGCCCTCAATGAAGTCACCTAATGTGATAGCTAGACACTAATAGACTAACAAAAACTTAACGCCATTAGTCAAATCCTACCTAAGAGTCATGGACCAAAATAAAACACTCAATTTTTGGTAAAAACTAAAACCATCAGTAACACAACAGGAGTTGGCAATGATAAACCTCTCTCAACAGCAAACAGCTGGTCAGATTTATCTCTTTATTGATTAAAAGATGGAAACTAACTTAGGTTGACAAAAGCAGCAGAATATAAAAGTAGCAATTACATATAGTGTAGAAGAGCAACCAACAACCAAATGGTAAAAGAATAGTCAATCAAAATTAACTTATTTACCAGGTACAAAGGCATGAGTCACATCCTAAACGTGGGAACTAGTGATACTCCACGGTTGCCCAGAATGAAGTAGTTGAAGCGAGATCTGAACCTGGGAAAGGCTAAGAGTTGGTTTTAATCACTAAGCCACCGCCCCATGATAAGCAAAAGCTAAGTGAAAGAGGACAAGAAATAATACGCAAAACTTTTCTCTTTTATACATTCTGAAAGTATAAAGAGAAAACAGTTGTGAAAGTATTACAACTACTAATACTACTATCCACAATAGGTTTTAACACCGGTCTACGTAGAGACTAAAATGTGAACCGATTACTTGACAAGACGTTTCCACTTCAGATGTGAACAATACTAAACTAGTAATTAGACGGTTGCATAATCTACCAATTGATTTGTCGTGTATCACCTTATTAAATCAGACTAACAAAACTTAGCAGACAAGTACAGGCTTGTATAACACGCATCAAATAATGAAAATCGGAGGCGCTGAGCGATATGAATAGAAAAATAACAGCAGACTTAATACCTGATAGTTAAGCAATCACGGGCAGCGTAGGCCCTGGCACATACATGCACTAGTCACCAGACCGTATCAGCACAGTGGGATGGAATTATCAAGACAAGCTAGAGTAGTAGTAATATTATGTGGTAGTATGGAAAATCAAGTGTAGACAATATGATTCAAGAGTGGATCCGCAGAATAAAAGGTAGGAGACTTGATAGTTGAAGTTCAATGAGCTACAGACTCTAGTTTATATATTTGTGATACGCTCTGGTGGAATGTAATTTGACTTAAGGATTTCAAGACGTAAAAAATCATAACTTTTAAGGTTACTCCATGCACTCAATCCGCTTTATTC